TTTTTAAAGAGAGAGAGAGAGAATTTTTTTTTAATATTTATTTTTCAGTTCTCGGCAGACACAACATCTTTGTTCGTATGTGGTGCTGAGGATCGAACCTGGGCCGCACGCATGCCAGGCGAGCGTACTACCGCTTGAGCCACAACCTCAGCCCCTTTTTTTAAAAATATTTTTATTTGTATTTTTTAGTTGTAAATGGACACAATTCCTTTATTTGATTTATCTATTTTTATGTGGTGCTGAAGTTTGAACCCAGTGCCTCATATGTGCTAGGCAAGCGCTCCACCACTGAGCCACAACCTCAACCCCCTCCTCCCCAGCTCTTTTTAAAAGTTCTTATTTTATTTTTTGAAACAGGGTCTGGCTAAGTTCCTAGGCTGACCTGGAACTTGCGATCCTCCCACCTCGGCTCCGGAGTCGCCACCATGCTCTGCTACCTCCTTGTATTTTCTCAGTGAATCTGGATCACAGTATCCCTGCCTTCCCAGGACACCTTGAGGCTGAACAGCGAGGTCCCTGTCCAGGGCAAGCCCAGTGACTCCCAGCCCTTCCAGCCCTTTCTCCCCAGCAGCCTCCTCCCAGGGTCCAGTTACATGCAGGGGCAGGCTCTGGTAACCTGTGGAAACATAGTAATTGACTGGCTCATGTCTCTCCCTGGGCCCAGAGCGCTCAGGGTACAAGGAGGCCTTGGAGGCCACAGGGTGCTGTGTAGTAGAAGGCAGCGCCCCAGGGAGCCTGCTCACTCCAGATCTGCACACCCCCCCCCCATAGCCAAGACCCTCCTGGGCCTCTCTGCAAGCGTCCCCTTGCCTCCCTCATCCTCCCACACAGCCTTCCCTCTGCTGGCCAGCCTTGTGATCTGCTGGCTGCAACTCCACAGCCTGGTGCTGGGGTTCCTGCACTCTGTACCCCAACACCACAGTAACAGCTACGCCAGTGAGCATTGTATCGCTGTGACCAAAATACCTGACACAGGCAAGTTGGAGGAGGACAGGTTTATTTTAGCCCATAATTCCAGAGGTTTCAGTCCGTGGGCGGTGGGCACTGTTGCTTTGGGGCTCAGGTGAGGCAGAACGTCTTGGCTGAAGGGCTTGGGAGGAAATGTGCTCAGCTCATGGCAGCTGAGAGACGACAGAGAGAAAGAAAAGGGGCCAGGCAAAAGAATGGTCTCCCAGTGACCTACTTTTAAAACTTGGGCCCTACCTGCCATAATACCATTGAATGGAGTCCATGAGTGGATTCTTCCACTGATGAGGTCAGAGCCCGTGCAACCCAGGCACCTCTTGAAGCCCCACCCTGAACCTTGCTGTGTTGGGGATGAGCCTTCAACACGTGACCTGGGGAGTCATGCCAGACCCAAGCACAGCAGCTGTTACCTGCGGTCAGGCTCTGTCCTCACAAGGCAGTGCTGCTGAGGCTCAGTGCAGTACTTTCCCAGGTGCGTGTGGCTAGCAACAAGGAATTTCATCTCATCTTTTCTGGCTCTGAACTGCTGTCATGGTTAAAATAATAATTACAGTAATTATCATGAGAGCTGGCAGCCACGGGCTGTCACTATGGGCCAGTATTTGTGTGAAGTGCTTTGCACACCTTTTCTCATTGAAGTTTTTCCCTAAACTCTAGGAGATGGGCACACTCATTTCCACTGACAGATAATGAGAAGCTCAAAATGGGAAAATTATTTGCCAAGGGTCACACAGTTTGGAACTGGTGCCAAGATCCACACCCAGGTGTGTTTGGCTGTAGAATGGCACTGTTCAGTAGAAAGCCCCATGTTAAAGTTTTGTAGAGACCATATTAAAAAAAGCCAAAGAAGCTAGGCATGGTGGCACTCACCTGTAATCCCAGCAGCTCAGGACATTGAGGCAGGATTGCAAGTTCAAGTCCAGCCTCAACATCTTATTGAGACCCAGGGGATGTAATGGAGTGAAAAAGCACCCCAGGGTTCAATCCAATATCCAAAAAAAAACAAAGGCAAAAAGAAATTTTAACTTTAATTTTAATGATATGCTTTATATAACTTGGTGTATCCAAATTTTGATCATTTCGGCCTGTAGATGACATAAAGGACTGCTGAGATATTTTGCATTTCCTTTTGGTTCTAAGTGAGGGATCCATTGTGTGTGTGTACATAGGAATGTCTGTTGGGACTGGCCACATTTCAAGTGCCCATGGCCCTGGTGTCTCCTGTCCTGGGCAGCAGGTCTAGAGCTTGTGCTCTTGGTGCCAGGCCCCAGTGCCTTCTCCCCTTTCTCCAGGGGCTGGATGGGGCAAGAGGCCCTTCATTGGGGAGGTGGCAGGCGTGCGTTGATGGTCACGGCTTTCCTCACAGCCAGAGTCACAGCGCAGGGAGTTTGCGGAGAAGCTGGAGTCCTTGCTGCACCGGGCCTACCACCTGCAGGAGGAGTTCGGCTCCACCTTCCCCTCGGATAGCATGCTGCTGGACCTTGGTGAGGGGGCCATAGAGCAGCTATGGGGCTGAGGGTGGCAGGGATGGAGGTATAGAGGAGCCAGAGAACCAGGGGGCCCCTTCGGTGCCTTAGACAGTTCCTGACTCCCGGGGCCCACTGGGGGTCTGGCTTCATGCACCCAGTCCTTGTTGCACAGATGAGGAGCTGAGGCACCCTTTCAGCAGGGCCAGTAGAGCAGGTGAAGCCCCAGGAGCCCCTGGCCAGTGTACCTGTGCAGCCCTTGGGAGCAGACCTTGGGGCCTGTGTCAGCATGTTCCTGAGCTCTGAGACCTTGGGAGGCTGTGTGGCTGAGTGCCTTTGAAGGACCAGAGCCTTCTACACTTGAGCAGGCAGAGATGGGATGCCAGGAGTGGCCACCGCCTTCCTCAGGCCGAGTTCCAGCCTGTCAGAGGGGAAGCACCTTGCCCAGGGCTGCACAGTAAACTGAGTACTTTTCTGCAGAGCTGAGGGGCCCCCAGACCTCAAGTCCAGTGGTGTGGCCATGGCAAGTCCCCTTGGCAGCTTGGTGTCCACACCTACCAGGCCCAGGGAAGACACTGGAGGCCAGAAGGCTCAGTTGCCGATCCCTGTGCCCAGATTCCTTTCATCCCCGAGAGGGGCCTCAGTTCAGCCCTCTCACTGCTCTTTCAGAGAGGACCCTCATGCTGCCCCTCACCGAGGGCTCGCTGCGTCTGCGGGCTGACGACGAGGAGAGCCTGACTTCAGAGGACTCCTTCTTCTCAGCCACTGAGGTAACCGGGGCAGGGAACCAAGCAGGCTGGGCTGGCCTCCCGGGAGCACTGGGCTGTGGGAATGTGAGGCACTTCCTCCAGCTGGAGCTGAACTTCGCAGAAGCAGAGTGTTGCTCCCTGGGGACTCTGAATTGCTGAGGACTGGGCCTGAGATGCTAGGCATCATGGCTAGAGAGGAGGCCCACCCGGGGCTCTGGCCCCTACTCACCTGTCGTGGGGTTGGTGCTTGGCATTAGCCTTCTGTGTGGCCTCCAGTGTTGGGCACATGTCCTTGCCTGGGACAGGAGGACTTGAAGCCAAGCCTCCATCTGATCTGCTCTGAGAGGGGCAGTGGTCAGACCCCTCGGGGGCCTCTGCCGGCAGATGGGTAGGCAGGCGCCCTTGCCTCGTGGGGTGTTGCTCACTGGCTCCCTCAGCCCCTCCTGTGTCTCTTCCCCAGCTCTTGGAGTCCCTGCAGGTGGGGGACTACCCGATCCCACTATCTAGGCCTGCTGCTGCCTACGAGGAGGCCCTGCAACTGGTGAAAGATGGGAAGGTGCCCTGTCGCAGCCTCAGGTGAGAGTGCAAGGAGGGCACAGGAGGCGGTGGGCGAAACCGCTGCGTGGAGCTGGTGGAGGAGCTGCTCGTGGCTTCTGCCCCTGCTGAGGGAGACCTGGCTGGTCTTGAACTAAGTGCAGCAGGTCCGCTAAATGGCAGCTGCAGGGCTGAGGCTGGGGCTCAAAGGTAGAGTGTTTGCCCCGCATGCGAGGGGCCCTGGCTTCGAGCCTCAGCACCATGTAAAAGTAAATAAAGTATTATGTAAAAAAATTTAAAAAAACAAAAGTTATAGTAATTAATAGTTAACCATTGTTCTGAGTTCTCAAATGGTCCATCCCAGCAGCACAGGGGACACAGTCCTACACCGTGTCCTGACAACCCTTGGTAGTAGAGGTTAAGAACCCAGGCTTTGGGGACAGAGCCCTGGCTTCTGTCCAGGTTCTGTCCTTTGTAGTGTATGGGCCTGAGCAGGTCTGTCCCTTCTCATCCTGCTTTTGTCTGTGCTTATATTTCGGTCTCTTTGCCATCAGAGAGTTAGCTTTTCTGTATAGTAGAAAATTCAAATTTTCCTGACTAAGGCTTGCAAATTCATGTATTTAAAAGTCCACTGATCAGGGCTTGGCTGGGGAGTAGCTCAGTTGGTGGAGTGCCTGCCTCACATGCACAAAGCCCTGGGTTTGATCCCTAGCACCACATACATGCACAAAAAAAAAAAAAAAATAGTTCACTGATCAAAAATGGTTGAAAGTTCTGGTTGAATCTGTGATGATCTGGACAAAGGGCAGCTGCAGCAGGTGGAAACCCCCTGCCTGATGTGCTGCCCTCTGGGAGCAATCTGACCATTTTGGTCCTTTGCCAGTGATGGCTGAGGGCTGGTTGTGGCCTAAAGGAGGCCAAGGTCAGCCTAGCCACCATGATGAGGAGGCTGGCCTCTCCTCAAAGACCATCCATCAAACCTCTGCCTCAGGCTGTGGGAGGCTGAGGCCTACAGGGAGGCATCACAGAGCCAGGTGAGGCTGGCAAAGCTTCCCACTCCCCACCCGAGTGTGCCCTGCCCCCCACTTGACTTTGCTGAGCAGGCAAGTGTGACACTATCTGTCCTCCCCTCAGGACGGAGTTGTTGGGCTGCTACAGTGACCAGGACTTCCTGGCCAAGCTGCATTGTGTGCGGCAGGCCTTTGAGGTAGGTGTGGTCCAGGGCCTCTTGGGGAGGGTAGAGCCAAGGATGAGGGACAGTGTGGCCATGTGGTGTGCACATGGCTTCCATCTTGGCCAGAGCTGCCCTGTGCAGGATACCTCCTGGGCAGATGGGATCTCCTGTCCAGCCCATTGTTCTGCCTCCTCCATGGGCAAAGGGCCCAGCAGCTCTCCCTTCCTCATCCTGTAGGGGCTCCTGGAAGACCAGAGTAACCAGCTGTTCTTCGGAGAGGTCGGCCGGCAGATGGTGACAGGCCTGATGACCAAGGCTGAGAAGGTAGCCGGGGGCGGGGGGGGGGGTTGGTTTTTTTTCAAAAAACAATTTAAAACCAAGCAGAGGAGCTTTGACTTCGTCCTGTGGGCAATGGAGGAAGGGCTGAGGTCTGACTCCCTGTGCCAATTTTGAAAAACAAAAAATCTGTATTGCTTTTTATTTCTGATTCCAACATAGTACAGTTTTACAAAACTTACCAATTATAAAACACAAACTGTTGGGCAGACTGGGGTTGTGGCTCAGTGGTAGGTAGAGTGCTTGCCTAGCATGCATGAGGCACTGGGTTCAATTCTCAGCACTACATATAAATAAGTAAGTAAAATAAAGGTCCATCAATAACTAATAAAAAAAAAAAAAACACAAACTGTAAAAGGTTCCCTGCACCCTCTCTGCCCAAGGGGACCCCTGCTGCCCAAGAGAAATGTGAGCCTTGTCTATGGTTGGGAACGTACCCCTTCTGCCGGCTTCTGTGGAGGCTCTTGACCCCTGGACACTGCTGTCTGGTTTCCCAGCCTTAGGACCCTCCCAACCGCCTGCAGCTTTGCTTTGTGATCTAAGGGCGTAGCTCACCCGTGGTGGCACCTCAGGCTGTATAGCAGTCCACATCACGGACAGTGCTACTTTAGTTGTCCTCACTCAGGACTGTGGTATCATGAAGTCTCTGTCCATGTCTTGGCAGGAAGTTTTGAAGGCTGGCAGAGCTTGCTAGTTTGCCCTCAGCAAGGCCTGAACACTTATATTCCCATGAGATATTAGTAATCTTTCTACTCTTTGTATTTTATCCATTGCTTTATGGCTCTTTGGTTATGGGTGAGGTTGCATAATTTCTCGTGTTATTGGACACTTATGGGTTTTTTGTTGTTTCTTTAACGAATTGGAGCAAAGTTTTGGAACAGACCTTTTCCTGAGTCCCCTGCCCACCTGCTGGAGTAGCGATTCTGAAGTCCACATGTGCCCTCATCCTCCATTTCTGAACACCCTTCATTCCTGCCGCCTGCCATGTGCAGCCTGAGCTCGGTTCTGTGGTGGCCTCACCCTGGCCAGAGCAAAGGTCCCAGGGCTTCCAGTGCACAGCCGGTCCTCTGCCTGGTCTGGGCCTTCCCCTGCGCTGGTCCCTGTGTGCCTAGCACACTGTTCCTTAATTCTTTTTTCTTTTTGTCCATTGCATAAGATTGTTTTTATTGACAGCTGGGTCTTTACATTTGAATGTTAATTTTTCATCTGTTAATTTCTTTTTTTCTTTTTTTTTTTTAAGAGAGTGAGAGAGGAGAGAGAGAGAGAGAATTTTTAATATTTATTTTTTAGTTTTCGGCGGACACAACATCTTTGTTGGTATGTGGTGCTGAGGATCGAACCCAGGCGGAACGCATGCCAGGCGAGCACGCTACCGCTTGAGCCACATCCCCAGCCCATTCATCTGTTAATTTCTAGGAGATAGAACCACATTATCCAATTCTTTTTTACTTCAGCAATTTTATGTGAAATATACATAGAAGCAGGTGAAAAGTATGTGTAGGACTTAATGAATGAAAAGATGAGGGTTCACCCTGGCTGCAGTGGCTTCAGTGCCCTGCATCCTGCTCAAGCCCTGTCCTCCACCCCTCTCAGTGAAGCCCACAAGGTTCAGGGCAAGTGCTCCTTGAACGTTCATGTTCACTGGGTGGTCACCTCCAGCACCTGCCACTTACCTAGCAGTGAGCGCTTTACTTGCATTTCTTTACTCGCAATCGCTCCTTGGAGCCTACTGCAGCTCCTGTGTGGCAGAGGGGACGGTCTGGACTCTGAGCAGGTGAGGCGGGCAGCGGGGCTTTGCACCCAGGTGGGCCTGGCCTATCCTGTGCCTGTGACCTGCTCTTTGTGGCATCCCCAGGAGGACAAGTGAATGAGTGAACAAAGGGTGAGCAAGTGCCAGGAGCGGGGCAGACCAGCCCCTCTGGGGCATGCCTCTGTCCAGCCTCTGCCCCGGGCAGGACTTGGGCTTTGTTGTCATTAAGAAGTGCAAGAGGCTGTCTGGCAGCTCCCGAGCGCCACAGCCTGTGCTGAGCTGTGTGACTACAGCAGGAGCTGACATAGCCCCATCAGGGCCCCCAGACAGGTGGCCAGGGCCAGGCCATATGAGAAGATACTGGCCCTATGGGGCGTGGCCAGGCCCTGGAGTTACAGCATCAGGCTTCTTCCTCACCGTGTGTCAATGGGCCAGTCCCAGAAACCTCTGGGTCATTGTGTGTCAGTGGGTCCCTGTGTGTGAGCGGGCATGTCCCATGTTTGACCTGCTCAGCTGGCTTAGAAGTGTCAAGCGTCAGTTACCTTCCTCCTTGACACTGATGTTGATGTTGAGGGTCATTGGTCATTTGTAGGTAAGGACATAAGGCTCTGGGAGTGCCTGGACAGCCCAGGGCCATCTCTAAAATTCTCTTTCAAACTTAATAAAAACAGTGGGGTGGGGGTGGTGCATGCCTGATGAGCCCAGAAGCTCAAGACCAGCCTAGGCCATGGTAATAATAATAATAAGTAAATTGATAATAAGTAAGTAAATAAATAAATAAAATTGTAAATTGTAGCTCAGTGGTAGAGCACTTACTGAGCATGTGACTTGCTTAACTTATACACACACACACACACACATATATATGTATCTATCTGTATATATCATGTATATGTATGTGTCTGTCTCTGATTCTACCCTTTTCACAGTTTGATGAATATCCACCTGTTGTCCCCTTTTGCCCATGGTCTTTATAAATGTCATCAACCTGTCATCCTGCCTGGCTCTTTAGAGCATCACCTAAAGTGGGCATAACTCCCGCTGGGGAGTCAGCCATGCTTAGAGCAGACCCTGGTACTTCCTGTCTCTGCGCAGACTCACGTCAGCAAACTGCATCGAGAGGCCAACTGAACCACAGGGTCTCAGAGTGAAGGTGCACAGTAGAGCTGAGGGTCTTCGTTCTTAGTAGCATTAGCAGTCTTTTTTTTTTTTTAATATTTTTTCAGTTGTAGTTGGACACAATACCTTTATTTATTTATTTATCTTATATGGTGCTGAGGATTGAACCCAGCCCCTCACACATGTTAGGTGAGTGCTCTGCCCCTGAGCCATAATCCCAGCCCCAACATTAGCAGTCTTTTTGATTAATTGATTTTGCTGTGCTGGGGATGGAACCCAGGGCCATGCACACACTAAGCAAGCACTCTGCCACTAGTCATGCCCTAGCCCTGCATCAGTCTTAGACTCTGTATTGAACACTTAGGTGTCAGGCACTGGATTGATTGTCTTAGAGGCAGAAGTTCACCAGTTCCCCCAGAACAGCCTTATGAATGTGGGCTGTAGCTTCTCGTCTCACCTCTGAGGCCCAAGGTCAAAATTTGGATCATACACCACCTGACTAAAGGTCAAGTTCTCGTGCCTCCCTTGAGTCGGGTTGTGCTGTGGCTGTACACATCTGGAAGGCAGCAGGTGCTCCCTGGTGTGGAATGCACCTCAGATGCTCCCTGGTTCTCTTCAGAGGCCCACTGCAGCAGGCAGTAGATGCTTCCTCACCTGGTCTTTCCTAGGGCAAGGCCCCAGTCCTGCCTTGGCATGTCCCCATCCACAGGTCAGCCTGTCCCTTTGGATCTCATCCAGCTGGGGCTTGGGGCCTCTCCCACAACCACAAGCTGTGCTTCTCCCTACAGAGCCCCAAAGGCTTCCTGGAGAGCTATGAGGAGATGCTGAGCTATGCCCTGCGGCCTGAGACCTGGGCCACCACTCGGCTGGAGCTGGAGGGCCGTGGGGTGAGTTGGTCTGTGCTCAACTTCCTGGGCTCCTCTATACCTGAGATCCTTGGGGGTGGGGGAAGGGTATGCCAACTTCTGCCTCTCTTCCAAGCAGCTGAGATGACATCATTACTGCTCAGAGCCCTAGTTCCTGCCCTGCCCCAGGCACAGGCATGAGGGAGGTGGCCTCTGTTGCAGAGCAAAGGGAAAGATATATACCCCCTCCACATGTCACATCCAGGCTCCTTCTGGCTTCAGCCTTGCTATGTGCACAGTGGCTCTGAGCCCAGCCCCCAACTCCCCGCAGGTGGTTTGCATGAGCTTCTTCGACATCGTGCTTGACTTCATCCTCATGGATGCCTTCGAGGACCTGGAGAACCCCCCATCCTCAGTGCTTGCTGTCTTGCGAAACCGTTGGCTGTCAGACAGCTTCAAGGAGACGGTGGGCCACTGTCCCACCCCAAACCTCACATCACAAGATCCTGGAACTCACCTGACCCCTTCTCATGCCATCCCTGCTTGGGGCACCAGGGCTGGGCACCTGCCCATCAGTTTCTGGGCCTGCGATTTCTTCCTGGGCACCCTAGAACTGCCTTCCACTGGGTCTGGCACCAGGAGCGAGCCCAGCCTTTCTCAGCGTGGATCCCCAGCTCTGCTCACTCGGTGCTGGCATTACTTCCACCCAGTAGTGATACATCCTATTAAGCGAAAATAGGAGAAAACAACCAAAACAAGAAGAAATGAGGCACAGAGTAGGAGAGAGTCTTCTGGGCCACAGGGACTCTTCAGCAGTCACTGTGATTCCCCCAACCACCAGATAGGATGGGGGCTTCATTCTGGCCATTGTCTATGGGAGGAAACCCAGGTCAAGGAGAGCAGCACCTAGTTCAGGGCCCCTTGCAGTCAAGGCTAAATTCCTGAGTTAGGGGAAAGAATCTAGAGCTCAGGACTCAGCCCCATCTTCCTCCCTGGGGTGGGATGAGCTGGGGATAAGGGATTAGACCCAGGCAGGGTGGGTAGGGGTTCTGGGGTTGGCCTTATTCTGACACCGAGGTGGCTCCATCTCTGCTCTAGGCCCTGGCCACTGCTTGCTGGTCGGTCCTGAAAGCCAAGAGGAGGCTCCTGATGGTGAGTGGCCATACAGTCACCAGGGAGCCTGGTACCGGACCTGGTTCTTGGGCGAGATGGGTGGGAAACACTGGTGCAGGGAGGTCTCCAAGTCCCCAGATTCTGCTGCACCTTTGGCCTTTCTCATCTCCTGCACTGGCCATCTGTCCTGCCCTCACCCCTCCGTTGGCCTGGAGCTCCCCATGGTCATTTGTTCCTTTTTGTCTCCTCCCCCAGGGCCCAGCACAGAGTAGCCATTAGGAAGTGTCCAGGGGCTCGGCACAGGGGAAGGGACATCCTGGGAGGGCTGTGCACAGGGTAGGCTGGTGGGTCAAGGTGGGGCAGAATGCCCAGGGAGCAGGCAGAGCCCCTCCTCCCACGCAGCATGCTGGTGACAGCCGGCTGCATTCTCTCAGCTGCTGTCCATGCTCACTTTGCCCTCTGGGCTCTGCTGCCCAGCTGGTAACAGCTGCCACTGCCAGTGCTCGGGCACTTCCTTGCTGAGGCCTCCGGAGCCCCGCCTCATGCAGTTCCCACAGCAGTCTCCTATCCCAGTGAGAAATGGCTGTGAAGCGCCCGTTGCTTGCCCAGGGCCACCTAGCCCCATGTAACCAGCCCTCAGATGCCCCCCAGGACCTGGTGGTGCTCACCCTCCCTGACCACAGTGTGCTTCCTTAACTGTCGCCCTGACAGGTGCCCGATGGCTTCATCTCCCATTTCTACTCCGTATCGGAGCACGTTAGTCCCGTCCTGGCCTTTGGCTTCCTTGGACCCAAGCCCCAGCTCGCTGAAGTCTGTGCTTTCTTCAAGGTACACAGCAGCACCCCTCTTTCCATGCCCCTGGCACAGGAGCCCTGGAGGGGCCAGCAGTGCAGTGAGGGCCTGGACCTGCTCCCAGAGGAAGGGGCCAGGGGCAGCAACAGGAGAGTAGCCCAAGGGTGGGAGAGGAAGGATTGGGGGCCCTGGTGATCGAGAAGGGGACCTAATGGGTTTGGAGGACATCGTTGAAGGACCCAGGCCCAACACCAGCCCTGTGCCCCCAGCACCAGATTGTGCAGTACCTGAGGGACATGTTTGACCTGGACAATGTGCGCTACACATCGGTGCCAGCGCTGGCGGATGACATCCTGCAGCTGTCCCGGCGCCGCAGTGAGATCCTTCTGGGATACCTGGGGACACCAATGGCCAGCAGCATTGGCCTGAATGGGGCACTGCCCAGAGAGAACGGGCCCCTGGCAGAGCCGCAGTAGTGGCAGGCCTGGGCGGAGGGCAGGTGGCTGCCTGGCCTCGCTCATGCAGATGGGAGAGAAGGTGACCCTCCCTCCTTTTGGGTTGGCATTCAAGGGCCATGGTGGCCAGGGCAGTTGCCTCTGAGCTTGCCCCACCCCCCTCACCTGGGAATCCCCAAGGCCCAAAGAGCAAGTTTCCCTGGACGGGGCTGGAGGCATGGAGAGGCCCGCCTGAGTGCCTTCAGCTGTCTCTGGGGAAGGGTCCGTGGGAGAGGGTGGCATCGTGGAGACCTGGGACAGGAAAAGCCAAAGTCCTGTGAGTGTGGGGCCCCAGAAGCTCTGACTACCCTAGGGCTGTCCACAGGTGGGCTCTGAAGGGGGAGGTGGAGGTGGGAGCGGCACGGCCTCATGGTGAGCATCACGGAGTCCTGAGCTACAGCACCCTGCACCTGTGTGGCCGGTCTCACGACCCAGGTGTCCACTGGTCAGTCCAGAAGGCCCCACCCTGCCTGCCTCCTGCAAGAGTTTGCAAGTACGCACAGGGGTGGGGGACAGCACCTAGTGGCAAAGGTCTGGGTCATCCAGAGGTTGACAGAAGGCTGGGCTGCAGCTCAGGGGTATGGTGTTTGTCGAGTGGTGCAAGGCCCTGGGTTCCATCCCCAGTGCTGCCAAAAAAAAATTTTGTTTTTTCCAGGACAGAGGTGGGCCTGCTCCCCCTGTGCTCCCCCTGGCAGGGACTGGCCCTGACAAACCCAAGCACCAACCCAGGATACTGTCCCCCCGTGTGCCCCTACCCTGCCAAAGACTGTCATTTCTCCTTCCACCTCTGCCACCACCAAAGATGGAGAAGGTGGTGCTGGGTGCTCCGGGCCCCTCCCACCCCCCTGGGAAGCCAGGAATTCCCTGAGTGGTGCTAGGCTGGAGTTGGGGGTGCTGACCAGGGGTACTCGGGACCATCACCTGTGCTGCCATCAGTAGCCCCAGGATGAGGGGCCAGGGACCACGGTGGGGGATGTCAGAAGATGAACACGGCTGGACCAGATCCCCCACCCTCATGGGGACAAGAAACGACCTGGCATTGTACCTTCAACACAACGCACAGACGCTCCAGGAGCCGACTAAGGGAGTGGAGCCCACCTCAGGGCTGGCGCCACCCGCTGCTCCTGTGGAGATCCTGCTAGCATCTGTCCCAGCAGCTGCCAGGCTCTGCCAGCCCTTCAGACTCGCGGCTCTGCCAGTGCTTTGCCTGAGCTGGAAAGTTTTATTTATTGCCTTAACACTTTATTTGGAGTTTCTGCCCCTTCCAGGTTCTGAGACCTTTAGAGAAACAGACTCCTGGCTTCCCAGGCAGGAGCCAGAGCACTGGATTGGGAAGAGCTGCTGGGTGGGGAGGGCACACCCAGAAGGGGGACCTGTGAAGGGTGATGCTGGGCATGCCTGTCCTCTCTGCATCTGGTCCCCAGATTGGAGGACCCATGGGCACTAGTGTGGCTCTGGCCTGACCCCCTCCCAGCCCTCCATCCTCACATTCCTTCTTTTGCACTTACCCTGCGCTGTGAATGTACGCCTGGGCCCTCGCTGTCCTGACTGCCCCGGTCACTGGAAGTGGCTTCTCACCTGGCCTTTGTTTACACGCCGAGCACTTGGCCTGCTTCCAGCTTCTGTGTGGCGCAGCGTGTGGTGGAGCCTGTGCGTTGACCGCGAGTCCAATAAATGACGGACACCATCTCCTCCTGCACTGACATGGGGATGGGGTAGCTCTTTGCTTCTTGGCCAAAGCGGGACAAAGAGCGGGAGAGATCCCTCACTGAACAGGACTACTGGTGCTCACAGGCGGGCGGGAGGTGGGCGCCTTGGGCGTGCACTCACCTCAGCGCTGTGGCAGGAAGGCCACCTCCCTCCGGGGCTTAGTTTCCAGGTCTGCAAGCTGTAGGCACAGGACGGGGCCCACAGGCTTCCAGGCTCAGTTTCTGTGACTGCACTAGGAGAGCCCAGCAGGGGCAGGGGCAGGGGCAGGGAGACCTGTGGGGATGCAGATCCAGCCTGCCATGTCTTCAGGTACTTCATGGAAATCTGAAAATCACAAGCTGTTAAGTCTCAGCAATGTGGGAGGCTGAGGTAGGAAGAACAAAACTTCAAGGCCAACTTGGGCAACTTAACAAGGTCCTGCCTCAAAATTAAAAAGTGGGCTGGGTGCCAGCAGTGGTAGCGTAGCACATGCCTATAGTCCCAGCACTCAGGAGGCTGAGGCAGGGGGATGGCAAGTAGCCTCAGCAATTGAGCAAGACCTAAGCTACTACCAAAATTAAAAAGTGGCAGGGTGTGGTGGTGCTGGGAACATAGCTCTGTGATAGAGTGCTTGCCTAGCATGCAAGAAGCCCTGGATTTGATCTCCAGTTTTAAAAAAACAAGAATTCAAATGTTACACAGAAGTTTTAGGGGGAACCTTTTAAGTCTGGGGTTAAAGCTGCTATTGTAGCTCAGTGGTACAATGCTTGCCTAGTATGTATGATGAGGCACTGGGTTCAATCCTTGGCACCACTTATAAATAAACAAAACAAAGGTACTGTGTTCATCTACAACCACACACACACACAATGTCGGGTTGTAGCTCAGTAGTGGAACACCTGCTTAGCATGCACAAAGCCCTGGGTTCAATTCCTGACCCTGCAAAATAAAACAAAGCCTATAAAGAACACCCCTAAAACTAATATCTCTAGTCAGTATTTAGTACTTAACTATAGTATTTCCTGTATGTATTTTCCAATTCCTTGCTGTGTGGGTGTGGTCCTTGGGATTGAACCCAGAATCTCTCACATGCTAGGCAAGCACTGTATCCCTGAGCTCCCTCCCTAGCCTTTCCTGTTTTATTTTCAGACAGGATCTCACTCATTTGCCCAGGTTGGCCTTCAACTTGAGGTCCTCCTGCCTCAGCCTCCTGAGTAAGAGGGATTCCAGGTGTGCACCACCACAGCTGGCTTCTTTTCCAAAATATTTTTAGTTTTCAGGTGTGAACTTCACCCATGAATACTTGAAGCAGGTAGTTCTTCAGAAGGTAATTATTCTTCAGCAAGACCCGCACACCAAAGTCACACCTAAACTATTAGTGATTCTCTAGTGTGTTTCTTGGTTTGTTTTAAAGAATTTTGTAAAGGTGTAATTTGCAAACGATAAAATGTACTTGCTGTAATGATTTTTGGTACTTTACTAAAAATAGTTGTGTATCAACTACCACACACAGCATCAGCACATTGCCATCACGTTGAAAAGACCCCTCGTGCTTGTTTGCAGAATGTCCCCCAGGCCACCACCAACCTCTATTCTATACTTGCCTTTTCTGGGCCTTTTCTATAAATGGAGTCACACATTATGTGATCTTTGGTTTCTACCTTTTTTGGCTAGAATACTTTTTTTGAGCTTTACTCGCTCTATAGCATGGATCAGTATTTTAATTTTTGGTACCAGGGATTGAGCCCAGGGGTGTTTACATTTTATTATGAGAGAAGATCTTGCTGAATTGCTTATGGGGCCTCACTAAGTTGTTGAGGCTGACCTTGAACTCACAATCCTCCTGCCTCAGCCTCCTGAGCCGCTGGGATGATCACCACACCTGGCCAATATTTTCTTTGTTGCTGCAGACCATTCTGGAATTGATTTGCTCCCTGCCTGTTCAATACCCCTATGAACTCATGGGGTTTTAGTTATTTGATATGATGCAGTCACGATCATTCCTCTAATACTTAAAACAGTCAATGCTTAACCACTGGGAGCTTCTTGGAATAGCTGCCAGGTCATTTGGACACCCTCCCATCAGTCTTTGAGTCCTTCCACAGAACACAGCATGGTGCTGCAGGAAGCTCAGCAGCTCACCTCTAGACTCAAAGGCTGCTGTCTGGTACCACCTGGGCCCAGCTGAGTCACCAGCTGCATGAGTGACCCAGCAGAACTGCCCAGTGGAGCCCAGGCAAGAACTCAGACCCACAGTGCAGAGCAGTGGTTTTTAGCACAGGTTTGGGGGAGGGTGTTGTGGACAGAGGTAACTGTGCCCAGTCCCCCCACTAATGGCAGGGAGATCTGGAGGGAAGTGGTGCTGGCCAGCCATGGCAGCTGTGGGATGGACATCTAGGTCTCCCGAGCCCAGCCTAGTACTCCAGGCCCCTTATCTTGGCATAAGCAGCTAGCCATGAGCCATCTAATCCCAGCCCTTCCCAGCCTTTACTAAGGTGGTCATAGAGGACAATGGTCATAAGATCCTGCAGGACACAGCACTGAGTCTTTGGCCCAGCAAACAGTGGCAGGAATTGCAACATAAGGGACTTCCAGGTTGGACACAGGGGGACAGGACAGCTGAGGACACCCACCATGTGTTTATGGGCCTCCTGTGTGCTGGGTGCTGCTCCAGGCACTGCTCAGGTGTGCTATGTGCAGCAGCCACCTGCTCACCCTGGCTTTTTTCCTGAGACAGGGTCTCTTCATGTTGCCAGGCCGGCCCTGAGCTTCTGAGCTGAGTGACCCTCCTACCTTAGCCTCTGGTGCTGGGACCATGGGTGTTTGCTGCTGGGGTGGACTCTCTGTTCTGGTTTTTGAGACAACTTAAAGTACTTACACTATGGAAATCAGTAAATGCCCCAAACCTGGGGAGCTTGCAGCCTGGGGATGAGCCTGACCGTTCCTGTCTCGAGGACTAGGCCCTGCAGTGTGTGGAACCCCAAGCCTTGCCTTCCAGAAGCTTTTTTGTGTGTGTGGGGGTACTGGGGATTGAACCCAGGGGTGCTCTACCACTGAGCCACACCCCCAGCCCTTTTTATTTTTTGAGACAAGGTCTTGTTGTTTTCCAGGCTGACTTCAGCCTTGTGATCCTCCTGCCTCAGCCTCCTGAGTAGCTGGGAAGATGGGTGAGCACCATCGTGCCCAGCTTCCCAGAAGCTATTCTAAGAGACAGGCCATAGACGGCTCCTCTGGGAGTATCTTGATTGCTCCTAGTTTGAGACTCCTAGGCTCTCTAACTGCATCTTCAGGATCCAGAAGTTCTGCAACCTCCTCAGAATGGAAGTTTCATGAGGGAAGATGTCCTTGACACTCATGATGGCACTGAGGAGCAGCTCAAATATTCCTGAAACAATGCTGGGTGGTGCATACCTCTAAGACCAATAACTCCAAAATGAGCCTGGAGGATCAAAAGTTCCAGGCCAGCCTTGGCAACTTACTGAGACCCTGTCTCAAAATAAAAAGGGCTGGGGATGTGGCTCAGTGGTTAAGTGCCCCTGGGTTCAATCCAGGGGGTGGGTGCAAAACCTAGACATACGATGTATGGCATATGGTGTTAGAAGTCCCCTTTGTCCTCAGCACCAACAATGCCCTCAGTGCCATGGATGGCCAGACCCCTGCTGACCTCTTCCCTGGCAGAGCTTCCCTGTCCCTGTTGTCTCTGTCACCCACCACTGCAGCCTCAGGACACCTGCTGTGTTGTTTCCTCTGCCAGGAAACCCACCTTGCAAAACTCCCACTCCTTTTGTATTCCCCCATCCTTGTCACCTCCTCAGGAACACTCCCTGGTGGGAGAGAATCTGGGGTCTGAGAATCCTGTGTTTCAGGGAATTGCTTCTCTGGGCCTGTTTGGGAAGAGCACTGCAGCCCAGACCCATGATAGCTGCCATGTCCCAGGGAACTATTCTGGGAAGCTCAGGACCCACTCCTCACACCTCCTGCTTCTCAGAGACTAATAATGGCAGTGTCTGAGGCAGCTGAAGGCAGGTGACCAGATGACTGCAAGAGCAGCCGACCCAGAAAGGCCCACTGGGCGGGGGAGGTAGGGAAGCTGAGCACAACTGAGCTGGGACAGGGGCTTCCTGGGCCCTTGGTTTTTGTCTACTTATTGTCCACTTGGGAGGTCCTGGTTTTGGCTGGCAGGCAAGCAGGCTGGCAGAGTCAGCCATTCTGATCAGTGTGATTCCTGTTGATTCTCACTCTACCTCACAGGCACTGATGTCATTTATCAGGCACTTGTTCTAGGTCTGGCCTGAGACAGGTTCAGGGATGTACTGGACTCTATCCACATGTTGCCCAGGGCTTTTCTGATGTTTGCCACCACCTGTCATCCCAATTACTCAGGAGGCTGAGGCAGGAGGATTGCAAGTTGAAGACCAGCCCGGGCAATTTATTGAGACCCTGTCTCAAAATAAAAAGAGCTGAGAATGTAGCTCAATGGTAGAATGCTCCTGAGTTAATCCCCAGTTCTCCCCTACACACACACACACACACACACACACACACAAAAAAAAAAAAAAAAAGTGCAGAGGCTAAGGCTCCAACCTGGACCTTCTGGGTCAACCCAGGAGGTCTTAGTGAGTCCCAAGAATCCATGTTTTCTACAAGCTGAGGTTGGCCCAGGTTGTCAGAGAACCACTGCTCACTTGCAGAGACAGAAAAGGAAGCAATTAACAATCCTGTGTTGTGAGGGCTGAGGTAGAAAAGGGGATGCAACCACAGGAGTCCAGTGGAGGCCCCTCACTTGGCCACAGAAACAGTGAACAGACACTTGAGTCAGACTAGGCCAGGCAAAGTAGGGCAAGAGATGTGCATTCCAGGCAGAGGCACTGCATAAGCCAAGGTAAGGAGACAAGAGCACTTTACCTGACCTGTAATTCATCTAGCTGGAGAGGGGGTCAGAGGGTGAGGTGGGTGGGGACGTATGGAGGTTTACTTAAGAATGTTTTGGGAAAACCGAGGGATAGGTGGAAAACATGCTTCCAAGATGCCTCATTAAGTAGTATCAATATGGCTGAACCAATAAATCCTTGTTAAATGAGTGGAAGAAGGAAGGCGTCCTTAACCTCAATTAGGCTTCCGTTCTGTAAAGCGTTTAGGGTACCTAAACGTGTGTGCCCCCACCCCAGGAGTTCCCTCTCCAACCCACGAGCTCTTTAACAAAAAAGCCCTCTGTTTCATTGGACTCGTCCTTCCGTTGATCAGTAAAGGACAAAGAAAAATAAATGCCCGAGTCTTTGGTCTGAGTTTACTTATAATTAAAAGCGGATAGGACCCAGTGATGCTGAGGTTTCCTCTTTGCTTCGAGCAGGCGCTCTTACCGGCGCGCAGGTCTCGCCGACCGCAGAGGTACTCCGGTACCGGGAAACTTTCCTCCAGAGCAAATCCCAGCCGAACCAAAGCTCCCACCAAAGCTCAACACGCCCCCCAAGCTAGCGCCTGATTGGCCCATCCTACCCACACTGTGAGCCATGCTTACCTTCTGATTGGCTGGCCTGCTCTCGGCTCTGGGTTGGAACTCTCCTTCTTCCTAATTGGTCAGGCAACTACCTGCGCTGGTCCTGGATTGGGTGCCGGCTGGGACGGCTCGCAGGCTCCTAGGGGCCAGCTCTCTGATTCGCCGCTCGGGTCAGCCTCACGGCCTGTACGCTGAATGGCTGCGCCAATACCTGTATCGGTCTCCGATTGGGTGCGTGGCGCCTTCCCGGCGTGATAGGTCAGGACCACCGCCCCCCTGGCTCCCCATTGGCTGCTTGGCGAAGCCCGGTCTCCGGGTAAGATGGCAGCGGACGGACAGTGCTCGCTCCCCGCTTCATGGCGGCCGGTGACTCTCACCCACGTCGAATATCCTGCAGGTAAAAGGCGGCCCCGGCCCCGAGACCCCCCTCCCGGGCCCGGCCCCGAGGCCCTGGGCGCTCCGACCCGCGGAGGGGGCGCGGAGGCACCGGGGTGGGAACTGTCAAATAGTGAGCCATGGAGGGGCTCGGCCGGCGCGCGCGCCGCGCAGGCGCAGTGGGGCGGCGATGAGCTGGGCGAAATTGTGTGCCTCTTGATCGCGCACTCTGCGGCTGCGCGCCTGGGGCGATTCACCCAGGGTCCCGCGGCTCCGGTGGGCTGAAATGAGACTGGGGTCTGTATGAGGCAGAGAAGGATCACTGGCCTTTGTTCCCCGCCTTCCCCGAAGCCAGAGAGGCCGCACTCCCTCCTTGGCGTGCGGGGAGTGCCTGTTTCTTTGGGATAGCGCTTTGGACTGGCTGTAAGAGAAAGAGCTCCCTGTTGCAGGGAGTGTGCAAGCCAAGGCCAGGCTTGTGAGTTCTTGTGGAGCCACGCCCTGAGCAGCGCTCACTGGGGGCACCGGGCGAGGAGGCAGTCAGTCAGCCCCTGGGATCCTGACTTTTATGCAGCTTCGCAGTCCACACACTTCTAGGAGGGCAGGGCTTTCCAGATGAGAGGTCCATTAGCGACCGTTCCGGAGGCAGTCTAGTAGATACACTGCAGAGCTTGGGCCTTGGGGTCAGACGTATCCGGGCTCCAATTCAGGCTGAGGCCTTGAGCAAGTGCCTATCCCCACCCTAACCCGACCCTGCCACTTCATCCCTGAAGTGGCACTAAGCTCAGCGCGTCTCTTCTGTAATGATGTGTGAATCAAACGAAGGCAGGCATGAGTAGTGCAGAGCACAGTGCCTACCACAGGGTAAACAACCCCTAAATGCCTGCAGCTGATGTTACCTGTTTCACAGGTAGGATGTTTATGTGGTGGGTGAGGCTGGGGACCCCTCACTGAGCCCTAGTTTGCTCAGAAAGGGCCTGCTGTTACTGCTTTCTTGGGCAGGGACATGAGAACCTGGTCCTGCAGAGGACCTCAGGGCTGGATGCCAGAGAACTTTGACTGGTTGTTCTGGCCTATACTAGGGGTGGGGCCATGCTGCCAGGTGCTTTTTCCTATCTGCCTGCCTGCCTGCCCACCATTCAATTATTGATTTAGCCAGTATCCACTGAGCACCTCCCAAGTGCTAGGCCCTGGGCAGTTCTGGGTTTAGATTGATGAACAGTCCTGGTTGATAGGTCCCTACATTCCTGTTCTTTGGAAGGAGGTCTCTGAGCAGGGAAGGGTCTTGACCAAGCATATTCTTGACATCCCCTCCCTGGCCTCAGAGTAGCTTCTCAGAGAGCTTCAGTCTTACAAGGGAGAAGCAACTTGGCAGTGTACACACAGGCTGTGATAAGGGACCTGGCTGTGCCTGCAAAGTCTAATCCCCTGTAGATGCTTCTGGAATCCTTTGCTCTCCTCTGTGCCACTGCCTACACTGAACTTGCTTCCTTCATCTTTCACCTCACATAGTTTTTAGGCATGGTGAAGTGGCGGGCAGGGGAGTAGTAGAGTATAGAAAGACTGACCCTCCTTTCATGGGGCTTGAAGTGTAGGGGGAGACACACACTAGGCCAATAGCTACATGAACTAGCAGATCATGAGCTGTGTCCCGATTACAGATTCTCTGTCCAGACTGAGAGCTATGCAATGGTAGGGTCTTGTCTTTTTTTGCCACTTATGTTTATTGAGTTCACCCAGGCAGCATCCCAGATGGGGACTGTAGTGTGTACGAAGTCCAGAAGTAGGACAGAGCACAGTCCTTCAGGGAACTAGAGTGCTGTCCCTGGAACTGGAGCAGAAGGTGGAAGGGAAGCAGGCCGGGACTGCCTGAGGGGAACGTATCCCAAAGGCAGTGGGAGCCATGGAGGAACTTAGATCAGAGAGTAGAGAGACCAGAATTCCTGGCAGCACATACAGGAAGGTCCCAGGGTAGTTCTGGCTCTAGGGCAGGCGGATGAGATGACTGAAGGTATGTGGCACCAGCTACTTACTGCTCTGTCCTCACAGCTCAGTACCAGGGCCATCAGCCAGATAGCAGAGAGACCCAGAATCTTAGAGATAAGAGGGGATGGATGGGGAAGCAGAGGCCCAGAAAAGGGAAAGGACTCACTCGGCATTGCCCAGTGGGGCTCAGACAGCAGAAGCACTTGAACCTAGACTGCTGCTCTGTTCTCTCAGACCAGCTCTAAGCCAGATCCCTGGGTAAGTTCAGGTAAGGCCAGATGAGGCACCCATCTTTTCAGGTTTGGAACCCATACTCAGCCCTCTGTGGGCACCTTTCCTGCTACTTGGGGCCAGCCCAGTGGTGTGGACCACTTCCCACTCTGAGTTCTCCCAGCCTCTGTGTGACCCCCATGTGGAAGTGTCCTGGGTGCCAGGAACCAAGTTGGTATCTCTCAGGCCCCATCACATCCTGTCTACACCATTGGAGGGGGTAGGTACTAATACCTGCACCTCCTGGGAGAGTACTGAGACTCAGGCAGGGGTAATCCTTGCCTGAGTTCTGTGGGCAGCATGTCCTGGCACAAGGACTGAGCCATCCCTCTAACCCCAGATCGCCATGGCCACCTTGTCTCAAACAGCAGAAGTAGCTTTTGGGCTCATCCTTGCCTTTGGCCTCAGTGTCTCTATGGGCCAGTGGTCTTCATACCACCTCCCTCCAGGCTTGTCAGGAGTTTAAAACCCTGGTAGTCAGTAGGTCACAATTTCTTGCCGATGGGGAAACTGTTACCTGCCACAAGTAGCCACTGTCCCAGCTTGGCTGCATTGGAGCTTTAGTGTGGACTCAAGTCTGTGTGAGTCCAGAGACCATCAGCCTTCCCGGAGGCCCAGGGCTTGGCTGGGGCAGCAGAGGTGTGGTGCCGTGCCATTGGGCTTCCCTCCATGCAGGGACCTGCCTCTGGTGTCAGACCAAGCAGGCTTCAGATCTCTGCTCTGGCAGAGTGATGGGTGTGGCATGTGGACCAGGCTGGATCCTTGGATTTCTAAGTCCCTCACTTCTGTGTGTGTGTGATTTGTGGGAGTGACTTTGGGCAGGTCCATAACTCCTTCTGGTTCTCAGAATGGGGACAGTGAAGGCACCTGAATTAAGCTCATGCTGTGTGACTTTTGGTGGTTAGGACTAGACCTTTCTTGTTATACCTGCTTTACTAGGTTGGCGTGGTCGGTTGGTCTACTGGGCATCTTCACTGCCTCGCCCTGGGCGCCAGGTCCTGTTGGGACCTCCTTGCCACCTCAGGCCCTACTTGGGTTGTAGGGACTGGCTCCTGTTCCCATTCCTGCTTCTCTGACTCCCACAGGTGATCTCTCTGGCCACCTCCTTGCCTACCTGAGCCTCAGCCCTGTTTTTGTCATTGTCGGCTTTGTGACCCTCATCATATTCAAGCGGGAGCTACACACGGTGAGTCTGTCCCCTCAGCTCCACACCCTGCTCTGCTCTGCCGTCCCCTCCATGCTGCTGCGTGTCTTGTGCAGAGCTCTTAGCTGGTCTAGGCTGTTCACTTGTTGGCCTGGGAGGTCAGTCAGAAGTCACAGTCATTGCGGCTGGGCTATGGCCAGCAGGTGCACAGGCTCAGCTGACTGACATCTTCCCCTGGCAGATCTCTTTCCTCGGGGGCCTGGCACTGAACGAAGGGGTCAACTGGCTGATCAAACACGTCATCCAGGAACCACGGCCCTGTGGAGGTAGGGCCCGGGCTGCAAGGGCCTATGGTTCCCCAGGTTGGGGTATTGCCAGGAGGCCTGCGTCCTCCTGTGATGCCCTGGTCTCCTTTCTCCCCCAGGCCCCCACACAGCCGTGGGCACGAAGTACGGGATGCCCTCCAGCCATTCCCAGTTTATGTGGTTCTTCTCCGTCTATTCCTTCCTATTCCTGTATTTAAGGTGAGCTTCTGTCCCAGTGGGTGTGACCCTAAAATGGCCCAGGATGGGCTGTGCTGGGGACTTACTGCTAGCCCTTCAGATACCTCTAGGGGTAGAAAGAGCTGCAGCTGAGGCAGAAGGTTCCAGGAGCGTGTGGATCGGGCCAGGGGCTATTTGGAAGGCCTGGACCACAGACTGGGGCTGAGGCTGGCTGATGGTCTGTTTTCGCAGAATGCACCAGACGAACAACGCCAGGTTCCTGGACTTGCTGTGGAGGCATGTGCTGTCCCTGGGGCTCCTCACTGCGGCCTTCCTGGTCTCCTACAGCAGGTATGAGGCAGGAGGAGCCCTGCCCTGCCCACTTGGGATCCTGCTAGACCTCATTGTGGGTCCCCTCCCAGGTCTTGTAGGGAAGGTCTGGGAAAGGGCCCCACACCTCAGGTTTTAAAGGGACAGGGTTCCAGTTGCTCCTTGTAGCCCATTGACGGAGCCTAAGATTCTGGGGATATCCCTGTGTGTCAGCCATTTGTTCCCAGCTTCCTAGGGGAGTCTCTTACAGACAGACTCAGTTTAAGGGCTGGATGGGAGGGAGGCAGATCCCAGCTGAGCAACCTCGTCACTTCTAGAGATAGGGAGCAGCCATTGGGCTCCAGTGCCCTGCCCCCCTTCGGAAGGTGGGCTGAGGCATGTTCCTGGGAGCTTGTCCTACCTGCGTTTGACACCACGTGTGCATACAAGGTCCCTGGGAAACTGACCCTGTTGAACACAGGAGATTGTGTAAGCCTGTCCCTGTCTGGCTCTCATGAACTTCCCTTCTGGCCTTGGCCCAGGGTCTACCTGCTGTACCACACCTGGAGCCAGGTGCTCTATGGGGGCATTGCTGGAAGCCTCATGGCCATCGCCTGGTTCGTCTTCACCCAGGAGGTCCTCACCCCGCTGTTCCCCAGGATAGCAGCCTGGTAACTGCCTCCTGTCCCTCCACCTTCCTGGCCTGTGGCACCTGTCCACTCCCACAAGTGTGGCCATCAGTGGGAAGTCTCCAGCAACCTGAGTCCAGCCTCATCTCCCTGGGAGGGCCCAGTACCCAGCCACTTGCCTACCTTCCACCTCCCCTAGGGTCTTGCTGCAGGGTCTTATGGGGCCTCCCCATATCCAGAAGCCAGAGTACCATCCTCTGTCCTTGCCTAGGCTCTGAGGGACTTAGAAAACAGTCGGAGTCATACAAAGTGGTGCACACCTATAATACTGGGACTCAGAAGGCTGAGGCAGGAGGATCAAAAGTTCAGGGCCAACATTGGCAACTTACCTCGACACCCTACCCTGTCTCCAAGTAAAATCAAAAGAGCAAGGGGATAGAGTTCAGTGTAGAGTGCCCCTGGGTTTAATCCTCAGTACTGCCAAAAGAAAAGGAAGAAGGGAGGGTGGGGTGGGCCAAAGTCCTGCTGGGTTGTGAGTACTGTGGTTCTGTAGGAGCGGGGGAGGGTGCAGCACCAGCCCCAGGATCTGGTGGGGCATCTGGCTTGGTGGGAGGCTCATGCGCTGACACAGCTGTGGCTTTCTGGGTCTGTCTCTCCAGGCCTGTCTCTGAGTTCTTCCTAATCCGGGACACGAGCCTCATTCCCAATGTACTCTGGTTTGAGTACACGGTAACCCGGGCAGAAGCCAGGTAAGTTAAGGGGCCAGAAGTTACTGCTGTCCCCATATTTGGAGGGCTTCCTTAAAGCCTGGAACTTGCTTACTTTTCTTTCATTGCTTTATTGAATTCTCCTGTGATCCTCATTTTGCAGATGAGAAAGTAAGCTCAGAGGAAAGGGAAGTCACTTGCCTGACATCTTTCAGAAAGTCGGTGAGGGAGCTGGGCAGTGAACTTTTGTCTCAGAGCCCTTGCACTTAACATCTGCAGCCAAAAACAGGAGAGCTTGTCCACTGAGATCTCAGGGGTCCTGTGCGTGGCCCTCCAAGCTATTTATTGAGATGCTTCCTGGTGGCCAGGTCAGCGGGCACACCCAGTTAGGGCAGCCTTCAGGTGCAGAGCATGTCGGGGCAGTGCTGGGCTTTGGATGCTCCTGACTCACACTCTTCCACTCAGCTCACCCCAGATCTTGGGTGGGATGTCTACTGGGTCCTCTCAGGGTTTAGAGAGGAGCTGAAGCAGGCTGGGCTCCAGAGGATGTTTTCCAAAGAGGAGTGAGAGGAACGAAGAGGTGGGGCAGGGAGGGGTGTCCCAGCAGCTAGGAAATGTATTTAGTATATTAAGGTCCAAATTATCCTAATAAGCTTAACTGTAAAGCCTCAGCTCCAAGAGAAAAGGGGATTTAAAGGAGTTAGGGCTGGGCAATCCCATTAACAGCAGAAAGGCCCCAGCCACGCTTGCTGTGCTCTTACCTGGCTCCCAGAGTGGTGCTGCCTTGCCCGTCCTGGCTGGCTGGCTGGCTGCCACCTGCCTTCATTTGCCTGTCCTCCACATGGACCTGTTCTGTGCCAGGCTGTGAGGTTGGGTGCAGTCAGCCAGGGTTCTACCCTGGGGGCGCTCACAGCTGCAGGGAAATGTGTGGAATGAAGAGCCTGTCCGTGAGGTGAGGTCTGTGCCAGGGAGCCAGACCCAGAGGTTTGAGGGTTTGCAACAAGAACTTAACCTGCTGCGTGACTGCCCAGGACCGCCTCCTAGGAGAAGGAACAGTGGTCCTGTTAGGGCCAGAAATGGGGGCTCTCAGCAGAGGGAGCAGCATACACAAAGCTTCTGAGGCAGAAAAGTTTGCTGAGGTGCTCAGGATTTTAACCTGGATCCTAGACGAGCCCTGTTCTTCTTGAGCCTCAGTCAGCTGCTTTAGAAAATACGGGCAATTCCCTGCTTTGATTAGGTTCCTGAGCTCATCTGGATATAGGCATATTCCAAACCAGGATGTCAGCAGTTCCAAACTCTGCAGTCTGCTTTGCTTACATATTCCCAGATGTAGGGCTGCTTTTTTTTTTTTTTGGTGGTGATGGTGTTGGGATTGAATCCAGGGCCTTGTACATGTGAGGCAAGCACTCTACCAACTAAGCTATAACCCCAGTCCCAAGCTGCTTCTTTGTAATTCCATTTTGGTGATAACTGAACAGCTTGGGCTGACCTGTATGTAAGGGGAGTTCTCCATGATTAATTGGAATCAGCCAGGTCCCTCTTGTCCAGGTCTCTGCCCTGCCCGTCTCCTGGCCCTCTTCCTGGGCTCCAAAGCTGAGGAGATATCATGATACAGTCCAGCAGAGACTGACCCTGTCCATGTCCCAGCCCCAGGGCAGGGGCTCTGATTGGTACAGCTTGGGTCAGTCACTGCAGCTGCTGTATGGGCATTTGTCCATTTCATTGGAACTTTGAGTGGGGAGGGGATACCACTGAACACCAGGTGTCCCCACATCTGACCCTATCCTATTTTGCAGGAACAGACAGCGCAAGCTGGGGACGAAATTGCAGTGACTGGTGGGTAGGGCTGGGTCCAGCCTCCAGATCTGGCCTGCATGATGCCTTGCAGGATGGACAGAATGACTGACAGAGGGCTGAAGCAGAGACCTCTACAGACCTGAGTCACCAAGTGGAGCCTTTTTTTTTTCTTATTTTAATTTTAATGGACAAGGTGGACCAAAGGGCTGAGCCAGCCCCTCAACTAGGACCCTGGAAGGCCTGCTGCCTGGGGGCTAAATGGCCAGAGACACTTACTCTGCTGCTGCCAGCCCCCAGCTGGGCAGAAGGTGCCCCTGACGTGGCACCAGGGTGTGGGGAAGGGGATGAGGGCTTGCATCTCTAGTCTTGGGCTAGAGACTCCAGGTGACGTAAAAAGTGCACACTATTTATTTTTTGAATTTTTATCAAAGGCAGATGGGAGTTTGGAGATGGGACCTAGAGAGTCCACGTTGCAGTGGTTGTCCTGGGTACAGAGGGGCCCAGGCCTTTTGTCCCGAGCCCGGGGCAGACTGCCTCTTCCTGGACCTGAGGGGCTAGGGGCCAGGAGAAGGGAGTGTCCCCTGTGCCCTCCCTGCCACCATTGCCATTCCAGAACCTCGTCAGTGTTTCGTTTGGGGGCAGGGCCCAGAGCAAGCACGCGTCTGGCGGCTGCTATCATTGTGTTCTTCCGTATCAACCTGACACCACAAGGGCTTTCTCTGGTCTCCTGTCCCCAAGATGACAAAGGAGCCTGCACGTATGGGTGACACACCCAAGCTGTTTACAGCTCCGTGTCTGCCACCTAGCACCAGTCAGTCTTCATCCCTTGAACAAAGGAACCAGGAGCCACGACAGGAGGAGTCTGGCAGCCAGTGCCTGATCCCCTGCCCTTCTCTATATGCTCTGAAGATGTCCTTGTCCTTCCCACCTCACCCAGCAGGCGGGGAATCTGTCCAGGTGTGAGCTCACAGATCCCCATATGCCCAGCTTGGAGGGCTCTTCCTAGGGACCATCTCTTGAGTCACTCTGCAACACTCATGGAGGAGAGGCTTCCAGATTCCCAGAAGTTTCCAGAGCTGACCCAGGTCCCTGGGGACCTGTGTTTCCCCCCCACCCTTTTCTCAGTGGAGGGTCCTAATCTGCTGCTGAAGCACAAGTTTTCGGTGCTTTCTTTTCTCATTTGTTAAAGGCAGTGTCCAAAGCCATTCCAGATGCCAGGACCAGGGCTGGTTTCTAGGGAGGTAGGTCAGTCCTCATGTTTCCCTCCCCTTCCCTTAGTATTTTTATTTTTTACTTTTTGCCTGAGACAAGCCAAGTGTAAGGTGGTTTAAGAAAAATCAACAAAATTGTTTACTATTGTTTTAAAATAAAATCTTAAACTATGGCGGCTTGAGCATGTGACAGCTTATGTGAGGCGGCTGGGGGTGGCTGTGGTGACATGTGACCCTTAGGACAAGGAAATCATAAGCATCTTGAGATAACTAGTCCCTCCACTAATGCTGGACAGGGAGCCAGGGGCCTCACAGGTGCCAGGTGAGTGCCTCACCTGGGAGCTGCACCCTAGGCCCCAAGGCAGGGGTTTGAAGGCCTTTGTATTTCCCACCAGGGCCTTCCAACCTCTGGCTCCATCCTCTCTGTGGTCCCACATCCTGCCTAAGCTGCAGCTCTCTCAGCATTGGGGACCATCAGTTTCTCAGTCTTATTCTCCTTTCCTGCCTCATACTAGCTGGCTCTAGCCTGCTCTCAGCAAGTTGGGTTCCATCTTCATGGGGCAGCTTGTAAGACTGGGGAACAGGGCCTGCCTTTCCTAAGGCAAGAGGAACGTCTCCTCCACTTCTTTCATTCCATATTTCTGGGTGCATGGATGGATGAAAATCTTGCTTTTACAGAAGTAACTACACACTGAACTGGGTTTTTTTTTTTTCTTCTAATTTTGGCTGTAGATGGACACATACCTTTTATTTTTATGTGGTGCTGAGGATCGAACCCATTGCCTCACACATGCCAGGCAAGTGCTCTACCTCTAAGCCACAACTCCAGCCCCTGAACTAGGTTTTTAAAGGCCTTATGAGAGGGACCCAGGGATGGCCCTGAGATGCAGAACAGCTACACCCTCAGGGGAGGAGGAATCAAAAGTTACCCCTAATCAAATGGGTGTTAAGGCCTGTGAGGTCCCCTGGGGCCACTGAACCTTGACATTCAATTAAGCCAACTTCAGATGAGTGGTGACCCAGGAGCCTTGTAGATTTAAAATTAGTTATCTACTTTTTTTTTTTTTTTTTTGTATAGGGCATTTAACCCAGGGATACTTTACCACTGAGCTACTTCCACAGCCCTTTTTGTTTTTTGAGACAGGTTTTCTAAGTTGCTGAGGCTTGCCCCAAACTTGTGATCCTCTCTGTCTCAGCCTTCCTAGCCAGTGGGATTACAAGCACGTGCCACTGTGCCCCAGCTAATTATTAAATACTGCTTTAAATCACCATGGAGCCTATGGTCTGGGGCCCATCTCTTGTTCTGTGGGGCTTTGGGCAAGTGGCATCTATCTAGCCTTATTAGGAAAGGAGAAAAAAGGCCACAATGAGTGTCCACCTTCACAGGTGAAGGAAAGATTTGATCAGACCTTAAGGGCCTCAAGGCTGGATCAGTGCCTGGTATGCAAGTGCCTTCCTGTACTGCCCTCTCATGCTTGAAATCCAGTTTCTACCAATAGCCACCTTCATCTCCATCCCCGGCCCCGAGTGGATATGCTGCAGGGCTGGGGGCTCAGTCACACATGTTCCTCAGGCTCTGACCTGAAGGAAATAAGTGTGCTCTCTCGGAATTTCTGTTCTGCTACTTAGTGTCCTGGTAATCTTAACTCTGAGCTTGTTTCCTCATCTGAAAAATGGAAAACCATGGGCCACACCCTCAGTGATGGTCGCAGGTTGGTCAGGCCATGAAGCACCTCACGTTGCTGCCCTCCTAGCCCCAGTGCACCTGCTCCTGGCATTCCATATGTGCCTACTTGACCCTGACAAGATGCTCCACTTCTACTAGGTGTACAGGGTTGAGGGCAGGTACGTGGTGCTGGCAGGTGGCTGCTTCCCCGGTGCACCCCCAGCAGGTATCTGCCCTGGCAGCAGTGAGGGCTGGGGCGAGCTGGGGCAAGCATGCCTGATCTGCTACCAGTCCTGCTGTGCTCCATGGAGGGCAGCTGGACCAGCCTATGGGCCCTGGGTGTTGGCCACCCCACCCCACCCATCAGACCAGGGCCTCATGGTGCCACTCAGCTCATGGGACTTGGAAGGCCCAAGCCAGGACAAGTGGGTGGAGAGTTGATGAAGAATGTGACCCTGGGTGTGGCACCATTCTTGGCCCAGCACCTAAGGTCCCAGCTGGCCCTGAACTAGCTCCCTGAACCCAAGGACTCCTCTGGGGGCCCTTTTGGGACACCATTTTCCAGACAAGGACAGGTGGAAGAAGACACCTGTCCCCCTCCTTTCCCCTCAGCTGAAAGAACTCTTTGCCAGCACATTTTCCCTTTATTAATTAATTACCTGGTGTGCTTGTGTTTTACAACTGTGAAGTGGTTCAGGGATCATGCTGTGTGGAAGCAAGAGGGCCAGGGCTCATGAGTCACCTTATCCAAAAAGACCATAGCAACCGTGTTGTTGATGGTACCTCAGGGGGTCCCCTTGACCAGGAAACCTTGCTCCCTGGCTCCTCAGCTCCAGATCATCCTTTGTCTTCAGGTCCTTGAGAGCTTGAAGTTCAGAGAACAGACCCTGGCCTGGCTATGCAGATAGCAAGGACTAGCCAGAGCTGAGCTAGGAAAGAAACGGAGCTCTTTCTAGTCTCCTAGTATGGTAAGTGCTGGGCTAGAGTGGATCCCTTCTCCAGGGAATGATTCACTGGAGGCCTGCGCCTTAGGTCCTGCTCAGCTTCTGAACTGAGCCCCAGCTCACAGAAGGCACTTTGTTGAGCCTGTAGGACCCCCAAGAAGATGTGTTCAGATCCTGGGGCCAAGGGCAGAGGAAGCAAAGGAATTGAGCCCTGGAGGATGGCTATCCCCAGATGGGATTGGCTATGGCACTAGCAGGCCTGAGCACAAGGCTTAGAGTTTGGCCCGGGGGTGGTTCTGAAGTAGGGTACGCATGTCCAGGAGTGCCCTCTCCAGGTAGTGTGCCATGCGGGCAGCATTGGTCTCAGCACAGCTGTTGTAGGCAGACACAGAGAAGTTGATATGGGCCTCCATGGGGTTATAGCAGATGCCGTAGCCATCAGGGACCACAGGCCCAAAGAACATGACGCAGTCTGTCTTGGCAGGGACCTGGGGATAGGAGATCAAAGCTCTCATCCCTGGTCCATGGTTTGCCTCCAACCGTGAGGGGGCACCAGCCTGTCTTCTCTTCTGTCTGCTCCCACCCTGCTCTGCTGCAGACACCCTCTCCTTATCTCCAGCAGAGGGGGACTCCCTCTCGTTCTCCAAGGTGCAGTCATCTCCTCTGGGGAGCCTTCCTAGGCATTTCCTGGGTGTGGGGGATTGTAGCTGCTCCCTCCTTTGCCCTCCCGACCCCCAGCACTTGCCACAGAGGGGAGCAGGCATGGTGCTCTGTCCCCTGCTAGCCCAGCATCTAGCACAGGTTGACCCAGATCAGGTGTTTCTATCTGACCAGTGAGTGAAGGAAGCCAGTTTTCTTAAGGAGCTCTGACACTACCTCAGCCTGCCTAGGCTGCAGTGTTGCCCCTGTCCCCACTTCCTTGGGGACTCAAGGCTTTGGCAGTGGCCCACCTGGCTGGTGGAGAGGTTGAAGTGCATGGCGATGGCATAGGAGGTGTCCATGAAGATGTCAGGCATGCTCACTAGGTCCTCGATGGCCTGCAGCTTCAGGCCCAGCAGGTGCCGGTCAAAGGCTTCTCCACGGATGGCCTGTGGGGAAGATGTCAGGAGCAGGTGAGGGCCAGGAGCAGGAGAAGGCTACGGTAGCACTGCCCCTTCCAGCCACTAGTCCTTGGGAACCAAGACATCAAAGTATCCAGGCAGGAGAGGAAATTTCCAGATGAGGAAATTAAGTCCCAGGGAGGGACAGAGATCTGGCCAGGAGGCAGGACAATGTGGGATTTAAAAGCATGAGCCCTGGAGGTGGGCAGCTCAGCCCCGTCCAGGCTGTGGGACCTTAACAAATCCTTAGGTTCTGGAGCCTCAGTGTCTTCCATCTGTGGCAGAAAGCAGTAAGATCTAGATGACAGCTGCATGTGATGTGAGCAGTGTATGGCACAAACAGGTGCCACAGCTAGGATGGGCACCTAGACCATTAGCTCCCTGGCTGTAGCCCAAGCTACTGGAAAGCAGGAAACGCATTGTTGCTGAACCATGGACACCCTCAGCATTCCACAACACCCAGGGGCCCGTGCTAACTCTGGAACTGGGATGAGGGCAGTTACCAGGTCCCCCTTAGATTCCCAGCTTCAAAATGGGGCTATTGCTCTGGGTGTTCCAGAGCTCAGGGAAGGAGTGCTTCTAGTGAAAGGTTAGCAGCCATGTAATGAGGGATGAGAAGAAAGATGGACAGACAGGTGGGGGATGTTAAGGGACAATAAGTGGTGATACACTGGGCTCACTCACCCTGTCAGTGTAGGCTCGGTGGGCTTGCACAGCTTTCCGCAGTAGCTCCACCTTCTGATGTTCCTGGTGGGTGTGAAGGTCAGGGAGAGCTGAAGCACTGTCCCTTCCCTCTTTCTCCCCTACTTCGTAGCCCACTATCTACCCAGCACTACGTTCCCAGCTCCTTCAGAGCCGAGTACTGCTATCTCTTCAGTCCCTAGCCCCCAAGGCCCCAACGTAGGGATGGCTCCCTTTTCCTCTGACTATCAGAAAGCTCAGAACTAAATCCATGCTTCTTCTTCTGTTGGATTCCCATTGCCCACCATAGGGCTGGAAGACCACACATGCGCTATCCATGTGTGATGGCAGAGTGAACAGGAAAGGAGATGGCTCGAGTCCAGCTCACCAGCCCTTGCTAGATCTCTCACCGTCACACTGGAGTCATCAATAGCCTTGACGAAGGCCAGTGAGTCCATAGAGGCTGAGCGGATGGTGTCAGTGCGTCCCAGGTGAAACATGCGCAGGGAGGCACTTTCATATGTGGCACACGCCTGCCCGTAGATCCTGGGTGCGAGACATTTCTAAGCCCACCCTGAAAGGTTGCACCCCGTTCCCAGATCTCTCCTTTCTTCGCAAATAGGAGGTAGGCACACCTGTAGTAGGCCAGCTGTAGGGCCATCTGGATGAAGGCATCAGGGCTCAGCTTCTCTGACTTGGGGAAGTCCTTTCCAAAGTGGTGGAACACCATCACTGTGATGTCCAGGTCCTGGATCATTCTGGGAAGGGGGACACAGGAGGAA